AGACTCTAATTTCTAGCCCTAAAAGATTAGATTGAATTGTCAAAAAATTTTTTCAAATTTACCAAACTATGAAAGAAGAGGCACAAACTGAAGTTTTCAAAGTAATGTTTATTGCTTACTCATCCAAGATAGTAGAAAGCCTTTATTGAAGAATGAAAAATTATTCTCCTCATGTTATTCCAATCATTTCCTCAAACAAGGAATTGAGTAAAGAACTAAAGGAAATAATTGCTAACAACAAGGAAAACATTGACATTTTTAGCAGTAGTAAAAATAAAGTTTACCAGATTGCTTTAGTTTTAGATATGTTAAATGTGGGATTTGATATGCCTTGCCTGCAGGCAATATTTTTAGATACTCCTAAAAGCGAAGACCATGATATTTTTCAAACTATTTCTCGTCCTAATCGAATTTTTAGCGGAAAAAGTTATGGAACAATTATTGATTTTCTCGGTATTACTGACAACGTCGTTCAAGCAGTAAAAAAATATGACACAGAAAATTTACTAACTTTGGATCAGGGTGCGAAGCAGAAAATAAAAGAAAGTGTTCAACGATTAAAAGAGATTTATGATGGACTAGAAAAAAATATTGAACAACAGTTGAGGAAAGGAAACCTTAAAGCAGAAACTGATTTGCTTCTTCTTATAGCAGACCAATTAGAAGAGAAAAAAGAACAGTGAAAAATTTTTCTGAAAACTTGCCAAGAAATAGAGAAATATAAGTTTTTCTGAAAAGTTGGGGAAGAAGTTAGTGAAGAAGAAAAAAGGTTTTTGCAAAGGTCTTTGGAGATATTTCGCTTAATTCTAGGTAAGTCGGGAGAAGGAAGTGGTGATTTTGCCAGCCACCATGGCTTTAAAAATCTCTCTAACTTGGAAATTAAGATAAAGGCTCGGCTTCAGGAAATTGTTGAAATAGTTCCACCACAGCAAGGAGAAGAAAGAGAGTTGTGGCTAATTGGCGGCGATTTAACTAAACTAAACAACATCAAAAAGAAATGAGCTAAAGAAATAATAATTAACCGCTTAAAAGGAAAACTAAATCTACTATTGTCTATTCTTTCATAGTTTGGTAAATTTGAAAAAATTTTTTGACAATTCAATCTAATCTTTTAGGGCTAGAAATTAGAGTCT